CGCTTGCCACAGCTAGAGAAAACCCACATCTGGCAACGAAGACCCAATGCAGCCAAAAATAAATAAACAAGTAAGTAAGTAAGTAAATAAATATATAAAACAAAAAACCCCCCAAAGTAGTGAGTAGGGTAAGGTAGTTGGTCAACTCTGCCCTTATCAAATCAATAGACGGTGAGTTTTTAAAATGTGAAGGATCTGGAAACATTTTCCTTAGGTGAGTTTATCTAACATTGGTCACCAGAATATTAGCTTACTCCACAACTGGGCTGTTTCCTGTTTGATAGCTGGCAGAGGAGTGGGCCCTCTTATGAGTGAATTTCCAGCATCGTCTGTTGAAATCCTTTTCACCCTCTGAGGTCCATTTCCAAAGCCACCTGCGCAATTGGAATGATTTGCGCACACACGGCTCTTGCTTGATGGTACTAGTCATTGTGTTTCATAGGATTGCATTCCTGGCTTCCCTGTTGATTACAAACTGTTGGCCTAGAAATTCGAGGCGCCCTGTTGTAGAGAACAGTTCCCTGAACATGGTAAATGCTCAGTAAATGTTGAATTAAGCCAATTATCAGCATTGGTTTTATTAATAACTTTTGTACACGGCTCCATAAACTTTGCAAACTGCTTTTGTATACAGTTACAAGGAAACGTCTGTTGTATGATTTAAGGTTTGTATTCCAGGTATAACTGATAATACTGATAGTGATGTGTGGCCTTTAGCTATGGACGTGCATTAGGTGGAAAGTGAAAACATGGAAGATTTGTAGATGAAAATGAACCAGAAGGTTAGGGACCAGGTGAACACACCTGTGGTCACAAGAAGAGGGTGTTGGCTGCCAGAGGACTGACCATGAGTCAGCTCCATCCAGGCGAGTCCTGAGAGCTTAATCCTCATCCTCTTCAATACCTGCTGGTGAGATTCATGTGGACTGACTGGTGGGAATGGTTTGTGGGTAGATTTAGAAGTGAGGCTTTTCGGCTTCCATCTCCACTTGCTTTCACCTCAGCCAAAAGGCGTGAAAATTAATAGGCGACTCCTTATATATTTTTTTCTCTCTCCTACCGATCTTTCTGAATGAGGACCTTCTGAGCTGACTATCAGTCCAATTAAATGCATCTGATTAAAACTGTCAAACTGAAAGGGAAGTGAGTTGAAAAAAATGCAGCGAGAGTTGTGGCTCTCAAGTTACCCAGTTTCTCAGCTTGAGGACTGAATTGTAAATAAATGTGTTAGGTAGTGAAATTTGGTTTTGTTTTCCCCAAAGGAGAAGTATTTGCCACATGGAAACAAAATGTATTCAGCATAATCTCATTCTGTAATTGCACCGTTTCTATTCTTAATTCTTCGAGTTTCTGATTTAAAGGGAAAAACACCAAAACAGACTGTTGTGTAAAATTGACAGGAATGAGTGTGAACCTGGCTGTCAGAGACATAGCAATGGAAATAGCTTCCTGTTCTGGAGGTTAAAAATAATGGATCTAGGAGGGAGTTATTTACACGGGCAGTTCGGAGGCTTCCCCAGGAGCCTCAGTCAGGAGAGCTGTGAGATCCACGGTGGAGGCTGGATGTGCGGGGAGCGTCTGCAGGAGAGTGGCCTGTGCGCTGCCCTGTGATTACGTGCCACTGTTCCCTGCTGGTGACAGACCAGGAAACAGAACAGCCTCGCAGCCCAGGCTGGGGCTGGGGGATGGGGTGTGTGCGTGGGGGGAGCCTCAGGTTGGGAAAGAGCGTCAAAAGTCAAGCCTCGCTTGTTCTGAAGTTCGTGATGTCAGGCAGATTAATCCCCTAGATTGCAGGAATGCTATTGGAGCATCCCAGTGAGAGAACCTTTTCTCATCATTCGGTGTGAAAGGCTTGGGGCGGGGGGGTGGGGGTGGGGGGCTGGGGGGTGGCGGTGCAGACCCCGCAGAAGCGGAGCTCCCCGCAACTGGACCAGGGAGAATGAAACTGAATGTGAAAATAGAACAACAGCCCAGAAGAAGGGAAACAAAATTAATATTTGTGGGAGAAAAATCCTTGTTGCCGCCGTTTTATGAACTGAAAGCCTATTTATCGAAGCCTGTCAGGATTTTTCTCTAAACCTCTGCAGGTCCCAACTTCTCTTGCATTCATTTCTCTGCGTGCATCTCCCACCTTTTGCTTGAACTCAGGTGACGACAGAATAATTTCGGAGATGTTTCTCCTCGGGTCTCTGGTCTGGCTCCTTCTAGGTCATGCCTCACAATTGTTTGCTGGTTTATTACTTGAATAACCTCGATTTCAGGAGCAGCATTTTTGGAAACGTGATTAATAGAATATTACGAGTTTAAAAATATTCTTTAGGTAGCCGAGTTTCCTTGCAGTGCACAAGAGGGTGTATGTATCTCAGTGAGCGTGTCTGCAAAGCAGGGAGAAATGGATGGTTAAGAAATATCCCGGGGTTTTAAAGGACGTAAATTGGTCTGTTTAAGAAATGCTTTGTTTGATTGTTTGCTTTTTCTGGGCTGTGTTTTGGTGAGGTTGAGGAAGTTGCTTTAAAAGTGGATATCAACTGTTTGTATCACCCTTTTTTTTTTTTTACTTTATGTTGGAGTATAGCTGATTAACAACGCTGTGATAGTTTCAGGTGCACAGCAAAGCGACTCAGCCATACATATACATGTATCCATTCTCCCCCAAACTCCCCTCCCATCCAGGCTGCCACATAACATTGAGCAGAGTTCCCTGTGCTATACAGTAAGTCCTTGTTTTTTTAACACTCTTAAACGTTTGGATCTCCTTATCACTGCTTGATGGGATTAGAGCCTGAATTCTTTAGTTTTTGACCCACTCACGGCTTCAGCACATTTGGAGGGGGAATATTCTTACTCAGTTAGGGTCTGGAGGGGGCAGGAAATTAAACTTTGCCTTTGGGGCTTTTCCAATAGATGTGTTGAATTCTTCAGGCGTTTGAAATCAATTTTTGACGACAGCAACAGAGAAGAGGCAGAGAGGGAATGGAGAGATCAGAGTATAGGAATAATAGATATTTACCTCTTAATGGTTTATCTTAAAATAAAGAGTAAATACAGTCCTTATCACTGAGAATTCTCTTGCTGATTTCTGTTTCCAGAGGGTGGAAGGATAGCTGGCTGGGGGTGGGAGGACAGCTGCTCAGAGCTTTCTAGAAGTTGCTATTCAGAGGGCATCTGGCAGGGGCTTTGAAAAGGAGCCTTGGGCCGGGTGTTGAGAGATTTGGGTTTTGGGTTCCAGTGTTAGCAGTGGGTTAGCTGTGTGCCTTTGATGCAACCAGGTAACCTTTACAGTATTTAATAGTCTCAGTAAAATGACAAGACTGGACACGGATGTGGTTGTAATTCTTTGTGTTTCTCAAAACCCCGATTTTATGTACCTTGTTAATTGCCTCATACTACAAAGTTCTAGACCAATCTTGACTATGTCCAGCTACTCTAGTTTGACAAAAACGTAATCTACAAGTATTTCCTTTTCAAACATACATTTTCCTATGTTAGTTCATTTAGCGAGTGTTAATAAAGATCAAAGGAGAGATCCTTGAACAAGATCTTCAACGATTCTTACTGGAGTGATTTTTAAATCTTTTAGTTCTCTTACTATTTATAAGATCGCTCCCATGTGATTTTTCTGCAGGATGAGGTATATACTCGGAAATCAAGACAGGGGCTTTGCCAAAGGAACGTAAAATTAGCCCCATTGTTGAAATGGATGTTGACTGTTTGTTGTTTGGTAAAAGCATCCCTTCGAGAAGCCGTTGTGGGAGATGCGTCGTTCTGTGTCCCGCCGCTTTCAGGAAAGATGAAAAATGTTGAAATCAAATGGGAAGAAGGAAATGTGGCAAATCACAAGGAGCCGGACTGTTCTTAACAGAGAAAACTCAATTTTGTCTGCTTTTTTCCAGCAAATTCCATTTGATATTTTATATCTTCTTGATAACTTAATAAGGAATCTCAGGAAGGAGTTGCAGAACTTTAACGTAGTGAAAGAGAATTTGTCATTTGTGACATTTCTCCTCTAAAGAGCAGGGGAAGATCAGTGTATTAGCTTGTAGCTCGTGCATTACTACTTGCGGCTATTTCTATTGGGAAAGGAAACAGCATGTTATACAGCAAAGCTTGGCACAGTGGGGCATTTTGGCTCGATCCCTAAACCTTCACGGAACTCTGCTAGGGACCAGGCATTGTGCTAGGCATATGTGGGATCTGTACATAATAAGAAAACCCCCGCCTTCAAGGAACACCACCACTTAATTTTTTAGAAGATAGGTCCGTAGCAGACAGTTCATTTAGAGTAATATAACACCAATATTTTAAAAATGGGAGTGTTGGCTCTGCATTCAAACTATGCACAGAATCCGGCTACTTCTCCCCACCTGCGATCACCTTGAGCTGGCCTCTCTGTTCCCACCTTGTACCTGCGCTCTCTCTTCCACATGCGTCCAGAACAAACCTTTGAAAACCTGAGTCACAGCATGTCACTGCCCTGCCCCTCCCCCTCCAGCGGTTCCCAGTTGCAGCAGATGCAAAAGACCTTTCAGTTGTTTACAATGTCCTACTGATAGGTATGGCCTCCCTCCTTTATAACTTACTCTCTCTCTCTCTCTCTCTCTCATTGTCTTTCTGTCCTACTGCTCTGTCACTCACTCGCTCACTCCACTCCCCCCACACTGGCTTCCTTGCTGGTCCATGCACATACCAGGCAAGTTCCCACATCAGGGCGTTTACAGTGACCCCCTCTGCCTGGGCCCCTCTCCCAGAGATGGCTGCCTGACCAGCTGCTGGCGTCTTTCAAGTCTTTGCTCAAATGTCACCACCGCCTCAGTGAAGCCTCACCCCAACTACCTTATTTCACATGACAACTCACCTCCTACCCCTTACCTCCAACCCTCCTCCTTCTGCTCTGTATCTTTTCCCATAACACTTATCACCCTCTGGCTTGCTGTAGGATTTACTCATTTATTCATTTTGTTTAACATCTGTCTTTCTCCACTGGAATGTAAGCTCCAAGAAGGCAGGATCTTTGTTTAGTTCAACGTTGTTCAGTCTAGAACAATCTAGAACAACGCCTGACATGCAGCAGGCACTCCCTCATTATTTGTTGAATGAGCGAGTGAATGAATGAGAAAGAGACTAATTCTGACTGAGAGTTCTAGGCAGAATCATGAGGAAGAATCCTTTGAGCTGGCTGTTGAAGGATGGGCAGAGTTGGACCGTCGGGTTTTCTGGGGAAAGACATTCCAGATCAAAGGCATATTTTGAGCAAAGGCAGAAAAGTGGCAGAGCCCACCTGTGCTCCTGGAACGGCAAAGAGTCCCAAGTAACCAGTGCTGGGGGCCAGTGAGAGCAGTAAGGGTGGACAGATAAACCAATGGATAGAAAAATAACGAAAGGGGACTCTGGGTGGAGTGAGGGAACGAATTACTAATCACTGCCCATGTTGAGAGGGCAGGCGAGTCGGGGGTTGGAATCTCAAACAAGCAGCATGCGTTGTCCCTTTAAGAAATCAGGGAGAGATTGTCCCTTTTAAGAAATCAGGAATGTGAATAGTGTTTGCTAATGAGATCTCATCTTTATATAGTACTTGACTGTTTTCAAAACATGGTCACATGTTTATTATGATGGAGGCTTCAGGACAACTATGTGAAGTTGGTATAATAGCTAATAGGCAGGTTTTTATTTACATGATTTGATCAACTTAAAGTTAATTGCATTTTACTGTATCAAGCCAGCTAAGTGACTGGTAGTTAGAAGGTGGAGAAGCGGCTTCCCACTGCCTTGGGCCTCATTACACTGTGTTTCTCCCTCTGCCAGTCTGCCTCTTTCATCCCCACGCAATCCTAAAGATGTCATGCTGGGATTTTTCACCAGGGTACAAGCTTCTTCCCATTTCCCCCATCATTGAAAGTAGCAGTTTCTTCTTTACCAGATCCATTTTTCTCTTTCCTCCTTTTCCATTTCACTTTACCTGGAATAATTATGAGAACGATGAACACATGTAGAAGGTGGGTGTGTTTTTACCTTGGCCTGTTCAGCATCCTTTCAGGCTTAGGCCGAGACGGTCTGACCCAGCACCTGACGTGCTCTGAAGTTGTGTCTGTCTTTCGTGTGGTTCGTGGGTGGAAGGGCAGAGGAAGCATGTCCACGACTCCGTGTGAGTGTCTTCAGGCTTGCTTGTTGCTCGCTTTGGGAGTAAACCTGATCTTCTTAATTCCCCCAGATATTAGTAGGCAGGACGAGGCGGAGGGAGAACTCAGTGAAGGAGAACACTGGTATGGGAACTCTTCAGAGACGCCGTCGGAAGCATCCTATGGAGAAGTCCAGGAGAACTATAAGCTGTCCCTGGAGGACCGGATCCAGGAGCAGTCCACTTCCCCCGACACCTCCTTGGGAAGCGGGACCCCCAGCAGTCACACGTTGGAGCTGGTGGCACTTGACGGTGAGGTCCTGCGAGACCCACTGCAGTGTCCGGATCACCTCTCCCCCGGCGTGTCTTCTTTGTGTGATGACGATCCCGCGGGCTCCACCAAGCCCTTGAGCAGCAACTTGAGGCGGCTGCTAGAGGCCGGGTCCCTCAAACTCGATGCCACGGCCACGGCCAACGGCAGGGTGGAGTCCCCTGTCAACGTCGGCTCGAATCTCTCCTTTTCCCCACCGTCCCACCATGCCCAACAGCTCAGCGTGCTGGCCAGGAAGTTGGCAGAGAAGCAGGAACAGAATGACCAATACACTCCAAGTAACCGTTTCATATGGAATCAAGGTAAGTGGTTGCCAAACTCAACCACCACCTGCGGCTTGTCCCCGGATTCAGCCATCCTCAAACTGAAAGCTGCAGCCAATGCTGTCCTGCAGGACAAATCGCTGACCAGGACGGAGGAGACCATGCGATTTGAGTCCTTTTCCTCCCCTTTCAGCTCCCAGTCTGCCAGCTCCACCTTGGCAGCTTTATCCAAGAAAGTCAGCGAGAGAAGCTTGACTCCTGGCCAGGAACACCCGCCCCCGGCCAGCTCTTTCCTTTCCCTGGCTTCCATGACCTCCTCGGCGGCCCTTCTGAAAGAGGTCGCAGCAAGGGCTGCCGGGACCCTTCTGGCTGAGAAATCATCACTGGTGCCTGAGGACCCTCTCCCGCCACCGCCTTCAGAGAAGAAGCAAGACAAAGTGACCCCGCCGCCACCTCCGCCACAATCCTTGGAATTATTGTTACTCCCAGTTCCTAAGGGCAGAGTGTCTAAACCCTCCAACTCAGGTATGGATGCTTTCATTTCCATCATCTTGTAAGTCTTTTTTGTTTTTACCTGTCAGTTGCAACGTCTAATTCATTGACTTCTTCACTTGGGTTCCCCATCGGATCTGAGGCAGGAAGAAAAAAGCAGGAATACTTTAAGTAAGCAGCCTAGGGGGTTCTTTCATGTATGTGTGACACAAAAAACTTCACCAATAGCTTTAGTTTTGAAAGGTAATGAATAATCTTAGAGACATACGGTACTCCTCCGTTGCATAGAAATGATTTTTTTTTTTTTTTCTTACCAAGTTCAGGCTGGGTCCACACAAGATATATTTAATAGGGGAAGATCAAAGCACCTTTGTCATGGAGTGCATGGCATCCCTGAACAGAGGGGAGAAGAAAAACTCACTGCTTTTGAAACAGTTGACAAGAGAGAGCTTACCGTCCTACTGCCTCCATGACAAATGGACTTTTGTATCATCAGTAGCTATTCTGCCCTAATTTACCACACTGTATACTTTCATGTTAGTATTTATGTTAATTTTTCGTGGAACGTAAGCCTTTACTTATCGTGTTCTTCCATAATATCTTGTCACACAAGAACTCTAAAGAGTATTGTCATTCAGATGTAATCAAAGCATTTCCTGCAAATGCTTTATTTTATTCCAGTCCAATCAGATTCTGAAGGAATGTGCATGTGGAAAATGTGAATCATGGGTTTTTCTTGTGGAGACGGTCTTTCCAAAGGAGAAGTGGCCGTTTTATAGAGCCTTGACATTCACAGTTATTCATCCGAGGGAGAAACTTAGTCACTTGAGTCCTCACAGTGGAAACATCATTTCTTGTACTGCTTTGTTTCTAAATTATGCCCATGGTAAGTACAGGGCCCCAGAGATGGATATATGGAGTTTCGGATGTCTCTTGAGGATATCCTGCCAGACTGGAACAGGAAGTGGGCCATGTGTGTCCTCATCGGGAGAAACGCTGCCATTGTGTGCGTCTAGCCAACTTTTGATTATTTGCAGCCATGTTGATGACAGGAGCTTAGAATGGCAAATAATTGACTGAACAATCACAGCTAACATCAGTTTGATGCGTTTATGACAAATTTCCATTTAAATTGCTGAGTGAGCTATATGCACTCATTATAATTACTGGAAAACTTGTGTAAACAGCAGAACAGAGCTAGGCAAATGGATATGTGGAACTTTTATGACTCTTTAAGTGATCCAAACTGCTCAGTCTAGGGTTTCTGAAGTGTCAGTAAAATCCTGGAATGTTGATCAATTCTGAGTTTCCCTACTCTTCACTTCTCACTCGTCATCTGGGGAAATAAAGAGAAAAATGGCTAAAATTAGGAAAAGGGGGACAAGCAGAGGGAGTGGGGTAATTCTGCAAGGGAATAGATCACTCCTGGTTTATAGAAATTTCATTTAGGGGTAGCAGCAGAAAGAGAGGTATGGCTATCTGTGTAAAATGTCACTTTATAAGTATTCTCCATCTGGTTGTTAAATAACTGTATTAATGATGTTTCTCCTGTAAATTCACCTTGACATTAGTTACTAGGAAAAGCTTACACAAATTTAGTAATAAACTTTAGTTGGCTAAAGGCTTGGAAAGAGGGAACTGATAAAACTGTCTCCTGACGGCAGACTCTAATGACTTTGTCATTTTCAAGTGTCTTGGGTGTAACCAGCAATAGTTATGAAGTGTGATCTTTTCACTCAAGTGACTAGATGCACGTGAAGATGGGAGAAAGGTCATGAACTTCCAGGGTGGGCGATAGACTGTTTGCCTGTTTCGTTGTAGGATCTGCACTCTAGGGATGAGATGTGCTCCCTTTTTGGTTTAAATGCACTTAATCCATGCCCATACCTCCACAGGCTTCTCAGTGGAATTGAATATGAAGATCTATACGAAATTGATTTTTTCTTTTTTCTTTACTGAATTTATTCTGTTGCTGAAACACTTAATATTTGAATCAATGAACATGTTCCAACTGAAAGAGGAGGGAAAAGATCTTCTCAGAATGGGGCTCTGCCACCCCTTTTGCTGATGGACAGGGACCTGTGTCCCCTGTTTTCCACATGCCTCTGTTCACAGTCCTAGACTTGGCAAAGCGGCTCCATTGACTGAGTGATTGTATTAAAAAACAAAACAAAACAAAACATTCATTTTGTAAAACTCACACAAGAGAAAAGATCGCTGCAAAGAGAAACACGAGGGCTCTTGAAATGATCCCCTGTGTGTCCGTGTGGGCGCATCCTAAATTCAAGTTATGTTTCTTTAAAACTTTTATTTATTAAACCATAGTTGCTTTACAATATTGTGTTAGTTTCAGGTGTACAGCTTCAGAGTCTTTTCCATTATAGGTTATTACAAGATGTTGAATATAGTTCCCTGTGCTGTACAGTAAATCCCTGTCGTTTATCTATTTTATATATAGTGATATGTATCTATAAATCCTTTACTCCTAATTAATCCTTCCATTCCTTTCCCCTTTGGTAACCATAAGTTTGTTTTCTATGTCTGTGAGTCTATTTGTTTTGTAAATAAGTTAGATTCCACATATAAGCGATATCACGTGATATTTGTCTTTCTGTCTGACTTTCTTTACCTAGTATGATAATCTCTAGGTCCACCCATGTTGCTGCCAATGGCATTATTTCATTCTGTTTAATGGCTGAGTAATATTCCATTGTGTATGTGTGTGTGTGTATATATATATATACATACACCACATCTTCTTTATCCATTCATCAGTTGATGGACATTTAGGTTGGTGGACAAGTTCTGTTCCTTATTGCATGGACTGGAAATAGGAGAGGGGGTGCCTCTGTGCACTTTTCACTTAAAGTGAATGTCATCGCCTCCTAGCATCCTAACTGGATTATGGATTAAGAAGTTGATAGAATATCCGATTTTGTTATTTACTTTGTACCATGGAGAGATAATTTGGCTGGCGTCACTTGAATCACTGGTTTTTGAATCTGAGGAGCGGAAGGGAAGGTGGGTCTTCTCTGTCTGCCCCCTCCTCTCCCTTTCTCCACACGGTACTGTTGGTTTCAGGGCCACCTGGGGGCTGGATTTGGATGTGACTTGACTTTACCTAAAAAGCATTATGGGAATGCAGTGAGAGCTGTCACCCATGCTTCTAAACAGTTCTCGTGATTATTTTTTTCCTTTACTTTAGAAAGAAATCTTAGTTTAATTCAAAATAGGTAGGTGGACCGACTTCTCACAGCAGGGAAAAGGTTTCTGTTGCCTACTACTTAAATAAACAAATAATAACCAAAAAAAATTTTTAAATCCACAGAAATAAGTTACACACCATTCCGATTTCAAGTGGGGCTTTACATTTTAAAGCTGTTTCTCAAAATGTTGCAGAAAGGGCATATAAAGTTGATTCTGGAGTTACAAAGGGAGATGTGCTAGAAAAGCCAGTCCTGTCTTGAGTCATTTAGACACTAGCATTTCTTTGACCTTCTTTAGGTCAAGGGAAGTCCAAACCATGAAAAAAAGAAAGTGTCTTTTAGGTCTGCCCTTATTTGTCTTTTTTGAACAGGATTCGGTTGTTGCCAGGTCATGGTGTATTTAATTCCTTAAAGAGTCCACCACTCGATAGCCTTTCCCCCTGCAAGGAGAGGTGACACTGGAGGAGGAGGTTTCTTTCATGTGACCCTGTGCCCCGGCACATGTGACACTGCTCCTCTGAAAGGGGACACGATAGAGAGAAGATCATGTCCATTTGCTCTAAAGATAAATGTCACACATTGACTCAATTCTCTTTGAAGCTACTGTTCTGTTGCAGCTCAGAACAAAATAAATGGTTTTTATTTTAAAGACAAAGTTTCTTGTAGAAGCCCGACAAGATTCCCAGGATGCCAGGCTCCTGGTTAAAAGAAATCACTAGGCGAGTTTCCGAGAGAGTGTCTCCAAAGCATCTTATTTTCCTGAGTAAAATTTAAATATGCTTAGAAGCAAGCTGGTCTCATTTAGCTGAGAGCTAAGAATATTTCCTGGGTCAATAGATACGGTTTCCTGGCTGCTGTTTTTATTCCTGTTTATGAGATGTTATTAACATTATTGCAAAAGCAGAGAAAGTCCAGAAAGTCAGGTCACCTCTTCTGATACTCCCCTTAGGTCCATCGTTATTAGAGCCGTAATCTGGGGATGATGGCATAGAGGGACTTCCTTAGAAAATTCACTTTTTAATCAAGATTCAGAACTATCTGTCACCGATCTCACTTATATTTCCCCAGTGATTTAAACTTAGACTGCTTCAAGATATCAGACTTCTCTCTTAGTTTTACTGAATGCTTACCAGTTGTTAAAATATACATCGATTATCTTGATGTCAGTAACAGCAGAAAGACCCAGTGACATCCATTGCCAACATAGGTTTTGTTTCCCTGAAATAGGAGTTGAGAGACATGCCCAAGAAATTCCATGGAAAGATGTTAAATCCATGTATATTGCTAGGAAGGAGGATGATGGCTCATCCTACGGAGATACGCACTAGTAGTTTAGTGGGCCTAGAGTGGGGACGGATGGTGCAGGGATTAAACACACCCAGGGCCACCTGGCGTCTTAAACTCCTTCGATGTGTATGGAAAGGTCTGTTTGCGGAAACAACCCACTTGCAAATTATCTTACCACTTAGGATATAACAAGGCAAAGTTTGATTTCAAAGCCTACAAAACAATTACATTTGTTTAAAAAATTACCTACCTTGAGTTACAGTGATTTAGTTAAAACCCTCCATGATTTTTTTTTTTTTTAACCCAATGAAGTTTTTATGTATAGACAATAGGGCAGAGCACCAACCGGACATGAAGAGATTGGCTGTCATCCCCACCCTTCCACTAATGAGCAGAGGGACCATACTAAGCATAAATCTCAGTTCAGTTTCCTCAACTGTGCACTGAACTGCTCGGAATTTATCCTCCAAGATTGTTCCCCGCTTTAAAATTCCTTGCTTTTACTTTCTTTATTTGTCTATCAACTCAAAATAAAACTTT